GGTAGGTTGACAGGAGCTGGAACAAGAGACGGGAGCTTTGAACTGGTAGGTTGACAGGAGCTGGGACAAGCGACGGGAGCTGACTCTGTTGTATGGATTCGACCTTACAACTGCTGGTCTTCTGACCTTGCAGCACAGAGGCTTCTGTGGTTTAACCCACAGCGCCACCACATCCCTATCCCACTCTGTAGCCTCCTGCTAAAAAATGTCAACCACATAGTGTTTTTGTTGCAGCATTCCAATGCATCCTTAATGGGGACCAATCTGTCCCAGAGTGGTCTGGGGTCAGAGCCTACTGTTTATTTGGAATTATTAGGATTGGTCCAAATAAAAACAGTTTTCTTGCTGTGTTGTCCAGTATAGGATTAGGGGGCTGTTCTTCCTATACATTTGCAGCCTACTGTTTATTTGGAATTATTAGGATTGGTCCAAAAAAAAAAAAACAGTTTTCTTGCTGTGTTGTCTAGATCACTCCAGTATAGGATTAGGGGGCTGTTCTTCTTATACATTTGTGGTGATGTGTAGAGGTGGGTGTGGTCAGGCCCTGATGGCGGATAGCACCCTCCATCCTATTTTAAAGTGAAAAAAACACGTTTTAATTAAATTATTTGGAATTATTAGGATTGGTCCAAAAAAAAAAAAACAGTTTTCTTGCTGTGTTGTCTAGATCACTCCAGTATAGGATTAGGGGGCTGTTCTTCTTATACATTTGTGGTGATGTGTAGAGGTGGGTGTGGTCAGGCCCTGATGGCGGATAGCACCCTCCATCCTATTTTAAAGTGAAAAAAACACGTTTTAATTAAATTTTTTAAATCAGAAAAAAACATCATTGTTGTTCTGCATCACTTAAGCACTATTCCACTTACCAAAAATTAATTAAAAAAAGAGAAATGTGCTGTTGAACTGGCCCATTCCATACTCCCCCTATGTGTGCATAAAAACCAAGCATTAATGCCCACCCACAAACAATTAGGCTTTTTCCAAGATGCCTGACAGCTATTGCAGAAGAGAAGGAGGAGATGGCAAGCAAGAAGGGGAGCCCAAATGGACCAGAAGGGAGCAGTCTAATACCAGCATGTAGTTGACTAGATCAGTGGTTCTTAACCTTGGGTTACTCAGGTGTTTTTGAACTGCAGTTCCCAGAAACCCCAGCCAACACAGCTGGTGGTGAAGGCTTCTGGGAGTTGCAGTCCAAAAACACCTGAGTAACCCAAGGTTAAGAACCACTGGACTAGATCACAACTATGGGGACTGCAGGAGCAAGGTTCCCTCTAAGCCGGGTGCAAGCATCTCTGCCTCCCTGCACGTAGCTCTCTTCCTCCTCCGTACAGTGATCATGTTCAACCCCTTAGGTTCTGTTTGCAAGAGAACCCTGCACATGTGGGAGATGGAATCACACACGCACAAAGAGGCAGAGTCGCACGCAAGAGAGGCAAAGCCCTGCCCAGCGAGGCTGAAAATTAGAGGGTATGTTGTGCAGGAGTGATGTTCATGTTAATGGAAGATTCAATCTAGTCAAGACCCATAGTTTCAAACTGACCCAGATTAGATTGCTCCCTATCCCTAATTTAGCTGTACTCAGAGAACAAAATGTGTGATTATAGCAATATTCCTACCTTTCTATACAGTGGCTGAAATCTTATCTGAGCAACTCTACCTTGCAGAATGCTGATAACATCATCAACAGCAGCGATTTTTCAGTAATAAAAACAATTCTAATCCCTGCTCCCCCCCCCCGGCTGCCAAATCTCTGGTGGAATCCCCTTTGTTGTGAGGAAACCATTGGAAGCTGTGGGACAAGGCAGGGAGTCTTCAATTTATGCAAGTTTTTGCTACCAGATAGCATTACTAGTAGTGGCAGTTTTTTAAAAAAGTAAAGCACTGTATATTTGTTTATTTCTTTATTAGATACCCTAGTTTTTCTGTTAAAAAAGAAAATTAAAGACTTCTTCTGTCTCGTGGCCCCCATAATGAAAGAGATTATGGTTTTCCCATAATGAAAGGGAGTCCACAGGAGTTTTTGGATTTTTAATGGAGAATTAGACATTTTTTATTTCAAAAAAATTGCTGTGGTTGATGATGATGCTAGTCTACATGGCATAACTTATGAAATGGGATTTCAGCCAGTGCCTTTTAAATGGTCCTACTTGTTTTATGTACTGTACTTTATGTGTAGATAATTTAAAATAACTTTTGATTTTTAGTTGCAGTCTTTATTACAGTTACAACAAAACAAAGTGTCTTATGCCAGCTTAAAAACGAATATATTGTATTTTGCGTAAGCCTTTATAAACAGTAGCTCATTTCAGTAGATACATTTATAATGTCTGCAGCAGATTTGATTCAGCATGAGCAAAGGACAGAGTTCTGTGAACAACCACTGGAATTCAATTTACATCCAAAGGCATTTCCTTTATCCTAATATTTAGGAAAAACATGACATTTTATATTCTCTCATCAAAATCAAGGAGTGCTTTCACCTACTGATGTTTAACATTTCAAGCTACAAGACAGTTGCATGATTTCAAGGCATAAGTAGTGAAACCACTGATACACCACTCCTAGTTTAGATAACCTTCAAATAGGTCTAATGTCATTCATTAATCTTCCTCCTGCTGTTGTGTACTACAAGGTTTGGTGGTTTGCTTCTCACATTAAATCGTTGAATACTGATTTCAGTGGTTCATGGTTGTTAGATTTTGCTTAACAATGCAAAAACGTATTTGTCCAAATGCACATTAAAAATTCTAGGTGGTAATGCCTTTTTGTGCTACATATTTATTTATTTTAAACTATGGTCCTTGATGCATGAGATATCCCAAGGTATGATACCTTAAGTCCTGTGAAGTTGCATTGAACTTTGGCTGGCCTGCCAACCATTACCATTCATTGGCACGGATAACCTTGCCAGAATATTTTCTATTCAGATTAATGCAATCTTCTCTGTGTAAGGGTGACACGGAGGCTGCATCTGCTAGATATGTGACAGGTGGACTGCCAATAGATGCTCTTTAATATCTACTCCGGGGACTTCTTTCTCTAACCATCGGGAGCAGTACAGTGTATAGATGTGGAAGAAAACTTATTCAGCAGTTACAGCTCAGTGATGGGATGCTATTCACAGGGCATAGGCTCTTCTATGTGGTATTGAGTTCATAGTTTGATTTTTAAGTTTATTTTCATTTTTTTAATTTGTTAATTCAAAATATTTTAATTATGTAAAAGTAATTCAGATTGCTTTATAGTCTTTCATGGTAATTTTATTGATAGTATCCACATAGAGGTTTGTTGACAGGGAGGGGGGAGTCAGGATTTTTAAAAATAAAATAATGTTAAATAATTTGGAACAGATTTT